TGATTACAGGATTTAAACTGTTTTACAGAGAAAAGGGCTTTGCAGGGTGTTATTCCTTCTTGAATATTACCAGTGGATCGACAATAAGCAGACTTGTGACTGGGCTCGAAAAGTACACGGAATATGAATTTCAAGTTCTGGCATATACTTCTGATGGTGATGGACCAAAGAGCCCTGTTATGGTTGAGAAAACACAGGGAGATGGTATGTGCTAGATGAAGGTGGAAGCGAAAAACATTATCACAATTTTGAGTAGAAAAATTGTATTGGACGTGCAGAGGAAATTAAACAAAGAAATGATCTCGTTCACAATTGCAGAAAAAAAGCCAGAAAAAATTCAGGCTTTGACAGCATTTAAAACCATCCCTCCCATTGAATCGTGGAGGAAAATGGCCTGCGAGTAATTGATTAGACACGGAAATGTATAATCTTTTTATCTGTTTTTTATTGATCTACAAAAAATTAATACATAATTCCTGAGCGATCTAACAGCAAGTAATTCCTGACAATTTCATGCTTGAAAAGGAAATGATGATACTAAAATTCCAACTGATTACAAACACACTACTCACTTCTGTGGCGCAATCCAATCAAAACTCCAGTACCAAGAAACAGGTAAGCAAAATTCTCTCAGGACACTTCTGGTAGCGAGGTAGAAAAAGGACTGATCGCTCTCAAGCGCGTGTTATGGCAAAAATAACACATGAGCTCAAAGTTCAACCTTAAGCGATTACGAAATGGGCTGTAAATCATGTGGTCAATTACTAATTAAATGTCAACAAATGGATTAATAATGGAAGACGAGCACTTTGAGCTTCCAAGGTGTCCAGTCAGGCCCCGTCAGGCCCCGTCAGCACCCCCCCTCCCCCCAAAAAAAATTAATACAGTTTCCATAGCTGCAAAGTCTCTGGAAAACAGGCATGAGCCCCCATTCTAACCCATAGGTCAGTTTCTTGGTCATGTGTAACGTTTTAAGCATTTTTTAAAATTTTTTAGGAGGTTGTTTTCAGTATGATCTTGGAATGGAAGGTAGAAACATACCAGACAGTAGGATAACTGCTTCTTCTTCCACCACACCAGCCGAGAATGGTCGACTAAACTACGCACTGGGAGCATCATGGTGTGCAGGAACAAATGACACTAGCCCATATCTACAGGTTGATCTACAGACGCTTCATATCATCTGTGCTGTTTCCACTCAAGGGAATTCTCAAGCAGATCAGTGGGTGAAGAACTACACACTAAAAATATCCACAGATAAGAAAGCTTGGACAGACTATAAGGAAGGTGGACGAGTCAAGGTATAAAGGAAATACAGTATGAGGCATAACTGCTAAAAAAAATCTCCGTCTAAATTTAGAAAATTAGTAGTGGAACCCTTTTAAACCGGACACCCTTGGGACCGGAGGAAATGTCCGCTTTAGAGGATGTCCAGTGTACTGAGTTTTTACCCAGAAGGCAATTTTATGCCGCGTAGTGTATTGTCTGACTGTAAGTACCAGTACATGGTTTTCGAGTACCAATAACATGAGGGGACGCAAATCGTCTGCACTGCAAGTACCCCGGAAAGTCCCATACATTTTCTTAGACTAAAAGTCTAAGAAAATGTATGGGGCTTTTTGAGCGCTCCAGGCAGCTTTCCTGTAAGGCGTCATAATCTTGTTGCTGTCGACATCGATGTGAC